TACTGACGAACTACTCCAAAACCCGAACCTCTTCGCGTCGGTTATGTTTACCAACTTCTAGAATGTACGGATGAGCATTTTCTCCTCAAACACGACCTTTGTACGCTAGGTCGGTATCAGCCCCGTCAAAACCGTTCCTGTAGAGTCTTCGCGTCTTCCGATTTCTCCGAATTCCTGGACCTAGACCTGATCTCTGTTAGAAGGAGAACTCTTCGAAACCGCTGCATGAGCCACGAGCTCAGTCTAAGAAATCAAAATCTAACCTTTATTTGTCGTCCCGAAGAATTGGTCTGCAGCCGTACGCGAATAGTGTGTCGAAGCCACCGCATGACTAGGAAAAAACCATAAAAACCGTGGTCAGTGAAACCCGTCGGTTCCTTACATTAACGTTGTTCTCCGAACGTCCTCTCGACACCTACCCTACCTACGGTACGTGGTCTATAGGCTGGTGGTTCACTCGTGCGCACCAAAGCTACCTAGTAATGTCAACAAACTAAGCAAATTATTTTCTCCTTTAGAAATTGAATTTTGTCTCTGTGCTTCCTTCTGCTGAACTGCTTACATCTGTCCAAAACGCGAGTGTTGTGATCACAACAATGACACACCAAGCTCTTCTGTGGTTGAGTTATTTGTCATTTTAATTCCGACCTCACTCATTGGGAATACTGTAGCGGCAAAACTGCTTCCTTTCATTCTGTTCTTTGATTGTGGCTGAAACATGTTGGAAGATTTTATAGCAACTGATTTATGTCCTGAATCCTCGATGTCTCCAAAGATCGGATCAGAAAGGACTCGTACATATCTCTCAATGAATTTGACCAAGTCAATGAATTGAGCTCTGTTGTTTGAGGCTTCCATGATGTTATGAGCTTTGTTTCTCCATTGTTCCCTTAGTTTGTATGGCAACTTGAAGACAACCATTTTCATATTGGAGGGCATATCCAACTCCTGCATGTACTGATGTTCTTCCATCACATTAGCACATCCACGCAGAAATAAAGCATAGGCTTGTAGTGCTTTAATGTCTTCTGCCTTTGTTATTGTTGGCCAAGCTAAAGCCTTTCCTATGTAAGCAGCAGCGATCTTGTACTCATTCCCAAAATGTTCTTGCAAAAGACCCTTTGCCACAATGTAGCCACGTTCTGGAGCCATGTGCTGGCAGCTACGAACCAGTTCCTGTGGCTGTCCTTTTTGTGAACTGTTCTAAATAGTACAAGCAGTCGGCTTTGCTGGCTTTGTTTTCCACTCCTTGTTCAAATGCTTTAATGAAAGCCTTGTACTGAAACAGGTTTCCATCAAATATAGGAATGTCTCTTGGTAGAGACAGTAAACGTTGCTGGTGAACCAGTGCAGCTGTTATTTCATTTTGCTTTTGCATTATCGTGAATAAACCTTCAGGTGGAATTCGCTGATTTGCTGATGGTGATTTTCCTGTTGACTTTCCCATGCAGTTGATTCACCAGTTGTCAACCCATGTGATGTTCCCAGATAATGTTGATTTTGTACATAAGCATCTTCCTTAAATGCAAACTGCCTTTCAGCTTGCTTCCATGTCCATCTTTGTTGGTTTGCTGGAGGATATTTTCCTTGATGTGGAATCATACTCCTTTGCCAGGGGGTTAAGTATGTTTAACGATGCCAGTTTCATTCCAGTTGTTCATTCCATTGTTGTGCAAAAGAGGAACGTCGTGAATGTGAACCCTGTAAAACTGCTAGCCTAGCAGTAGATACAGCTAGCTCAGTTTCCAAATCAAGCTGTTCCTTTCTCCGCTTTAATTGTAGCTCCTGTTCCTCCAGTGCATGCCTCTCAGTTAAACCTGCCACGCGAGCAACAATTGCAGCCTTTTCTGCTGCTGCTATAATTTGTGCAGATGAAGTTGTACTTGACTTTGTACTGCTGTCACTTTTGTTTGAACATTTACCAACATTAGAAACACTGTCATCAGGATTGATTTCATCATTATTATCACCAGTACCTTTGGTTTGACCAACCCACACCTTGATTTGGACAATAAATTCATCATTGAACATCATTTTAGCTTTAAACCATGTTTCATGTCTTTCCCTTTCATCATGTGGCAATAAACCCATTAAAGTGTCATGCATAGACCTCGCTTCAACACACAATTCAATAGAACCACCACAAGCATTTTGAACCTTAGCATGTTCACCACTTAACATCAAATCTTTTATATTTGTTCTTAAATTTGCTAGCTTTAGTTAGCTTAGCCTTTCTGCCATTGGGGGAGGGGGGGGGCTATGCCTGTCTGAAGCACGTGGTTAAAAGCATCCCTCATTGTTGGGATCAGTAGATCCATCATTTCCCTGTACCATTCAGAAGGGAAAACATCTGGGCCTGCGGCTTTATTGGGTTTTAAGTCTGTCATTGCCTTTTCTACTTCTTTTCCTGTAATTTCTCTAATTAATTTATGATTTTGCTCATCCCTCACTTTAGGAAAAGTTATCAAATCGAGGAAACTCCTGATGTTGGTTTTATCTATTTGGCTGTGTCTATAGGTTTTTATAGAAACAGACAAAAGTTTGATGTTTCAGGGTCTTTTATTTTATAAATTGTGTTTTCTACCTGTTGTTTTTTTAGTTTGTAAGCCAATAGTTTTGCTGATTTACCTCCCAACTCATAACTTTGCTTTAGAAAGATCTTCTTTTTTTTTATGTCGTTTGAGAGGATTTCATGGAATTTGTTCTTTTTTTTTTTTTAATCTATTTCCATTTTAGTTTTTAGGGTTTTCCTATGTATATTTTCTAGATGTTTTAGTTATTTTTGAAGCTGATTTGTTTTCTCTTTTCTTTGCTTATTTATGTTTGAGGAATATCCAATGATTTTTCCTCTTAGGACAGCTTTGCATGCATCCCACAAGATTATTGGGGACACTTCTCCATTATCAGTCCTGATTTGAGGCCTAATTTGGTTAAGAATTCCTGTGTTCAGTCTCCAGATTGTGCTTTTCCTTTCTAGTCCTAGATTTAATGCCATGGAGACCGGGGCATGGTCCGATAAATCCATGGTCCCTATACTGCAATTTTGAACCCTATAAAAATCTTTCTGATACATAAACAGATAATCAAGCCTTGAATATACTGAGTGTGGTTGTGAGTAAAAGGTCAAATCTTTCGTAGACGGATTTAGGTCTCGCCATATACCCGAGAGCCCTACAGTAGGTCTCCCAAGATCAATTTAATGTTCTTGGTGATTTTTTTCCCTCCAGAGGAAAGGGGTTTTGATGTATCTAAAGTTGGGTTAAGTCTAACATTGAAATCTCCCCCACAAATTAGAATTCCTTGGGCCTCCAATGTTATTATTTCAAAAATGGGTTTGTAAAATGACCATTCAGATCCCGGGGGGGCATATACATTCAGGAGGAACTAAAGTACCCTCCAAATTTCTCCGAATAAGTACATATCTCCCATCTTTGTCCTTTTGTGCATTCAAAATTTAATTTACTGGAGATTAAGATTGTTACGCCCCTCCTGGATCCCTTTCTGTAAGAGGATGAATATGGACTGAAGTTCCACTTTTTAAGTTTTTGGTGTTCCTGTTCTGTTAGATGAGTCTCCTGAAGGAGGGCTATTTCTGCTCCATCTCTTTTTAATTTTGACATTACTTTAAAAATTGGATTTCCCAGACCGTTCACATTGTATGTAATTACTTTAATTGGCCCTTTACTTTTCATGGTGATTATTTGCCTTTATTTTAAATCCATGAGTTCCTACATTTAAATCATTTCTCACATCCCCTGTTGTATATATATAACATTAATAAAATCCAAAACTATAACCAAAAAAAGTATAACAAAGTAATATCCACAAACATAAGTGACATTGACTTCCAGGTTTAAGGCCACATATTGGGCCTTGGAGTGTGGAGGGAAAGTATCTTCCTCTTAGTTATGGAAGGGGGCCCTCTTCAGCCCTTAAGCTGATACAATGGTCCATAGAATACAGAGGAGCCAACCGACCCAATATTTGGCCCACATGTGCCCGTGGTATAAGCCTTCTATTCAATTTGGTCTCAACCTTTGGGTAGGGAGAAAAATAATAGTAAAGGCAAGGAAAAAAGAGAAAAAATAATTGTCTCAGTTGCCTCAAAATAGCCGTATTATTGATGTTTCTTTTCAACCAAGATATTCAGAAAGGAGCATCCATTAAAGAAGGCATTTATGAAACATAGGCTACTTATCAGATATCCCGATGTCGAAAGCTTCGAAGCCGTTCCTTGAAATGTTGCTTGGAGCTCGGGTGCAGTTGATCTCCTCGCTTTCTGCTGGGTTCCCAGGTCAGCCAGTTAATCTGGTCCAGTAGCGAGCTCTGATTTTTTAGGACAGTCACTGTTGTCCCTCTCTTCACCATGTCTGCTGTTGCCTCCTCAGCCGAGTTATCCTCTGGTTTTTCTAGACATTTTCAGTGTGCATGGTGTTCTTTGTTGCTTTGAGCTATTTTGTATAGATTTATTTTAATTTTTAGAATAGATAAAAAGCTCTTAGGTTAAAGTGGATGACTGTTAACAATAAGTTATCTTTGCTTCACCGACACAACTTTGACAAGATGTATCTGCAATTAGTTTTACCATTCAAATCAACCTTTTTATTTCTGATCGAAACACAAATCACTTTAGATGCTACTTTTTGTAAAGCATAAGCACTTTCTGTAAATTGATTACATAATTGGATGTTATGTCAAAGGTGAATCAACTAGCACATGGTGCCCAATATGCCAAGAATCATGCTGCTATTTTCATTGCTTAATACAATGGTGGTGGTCAAATGTGAAATAGGTTATACTATAAGGGGAGGCCCGTTTGGTTAATTGCTTCCTAAGTTTAGGGGATATTGAAACATCAGATTTAGAGTAAAAGTGTCCACAATTTTGCAAATTGTATTGACAAGAATAATTAAAAGGTTTGGTTTCCCTACACCTTCAAAGCAGATTAGCAAGCATCATTATGGAGGAGTTGAAGAAAAACTCAGCTGAATCTCACACAGTTCCAGTTACAAACTTATTTTTATTTTGACACAAGGAATGTTTCTTGTTTGAAGTCCAAGTAGGGTTGAACATAAATACAATTGTACTGTATGTGTGTTTTTTGGCATCTGGGACGGCATTCACCTGCAGGAGACGTTACAATATGTCAAACCACATCCAGAGTTGAAAAGTATAGCAGAGATTAAGTAAGGTAAAACAAGTTAATTCAAATTTAAATATATTAGAATATCTAATAATAAACTGTCTTTTAGAAATGAAGAAATGCAGCAGATTTTTTCAAGTTGGAATTTTAAACGTTGTGGACCTAATTCAGTGTTTCTCACCTTCAATCTTCTGAAGAGTTCAGGAATAACTCCACATATCTTTGTCCTAAAAATCAAAGAAGGTTCAAATGTTCAGTTAAACCCACAGTGACACAAACACAGCAGTGATTATTATATCATTTTTTTTATAATGTAACAAATAATGTTTTAGCAGACCAGTAAAACTGAGGAATATAGTAAAGATGACATCCAATCACATTTAAGATGCTTCAACCATAACATACATATAAGATGTTGTTGACTGTTGATTTTATCTAAAATGATAACGTACATTAAAAAATAAACGGAACTGTTAAGAATACGAAGGCGTTGTACGAGGATAAATAATAAGTAATGGACATTATTTCCATCATGGTGACATAAAAAAAAAAAGCTATAACATCCTGACAAATGAAAGTAAATAACAAACACCATATCTACACCAGCACCAGCTTTCCCTCTGTTCTCACCTATGTAATCTCTGTCTCTGGACATGGCGCTCAAGGCGTCCTGGTGGGTGCTGAAGTAAACTTCGGCCTCTCCATTTGGCCGCCCTTCAGGACTGCACGCAATGGTGATTTTAGACACAACTAGAGGACTGAAGAACTGCGGGAGAAAAACACTCATAAAATATCAAATTGATATTGATTGACCTTTAATAAAACAAGACAACCATCTTCAACTTCTGAGTTATTTCGTTTTTACCTTAACAACGTCTTCTGCGGTCACCTGGTAAGGAAGTCCTCTCATGTGGATGTGGTGGCCCTGAGGGGATCCTGATGGAGCATATATAAACAGATTACACCAGTAAATACAAAATAAATCATTTACCACAAAAAAAAAGCCAACATACATTTATTATCTTTAATAAGTCACCACTTAAAACAGCTAAAGAGATAATCAGTTTTAAAAGAAAACATGTATTACCACAGTTTAGGTTGTGTGAATTGTGTTAGTGTAATAGAAAAATAATTTGTAAATAAACTGCTGATTAAGTCCATCTAGTGTTTAAGCTACCGTGCCTTAAAAAGCCCTCACCTTGTCTGTCCCATGAGTCAGAGGCCTTCCTCCTGTTTGTGAACTGAGTGCCGGTCTGAGGAGAAACTGAACTACTCTTCCCGACCCAACTGGAGTAGATCTGCTCAGTACTGCTGGGAAACACCTCGATGTATCTGCAAATCAAACAACAGGTGATGAGCATATCCCTTGTGCCTCACTAGGTTGATTGCTTTTTAGCATTGTGCCTGTGTTAATTAAACATTCTGGCAGAGGTGAGTTTCTCCTCCCTCCCTCCCTCCCTCCCTGTATTTTGGATGTTCAATGTCAGATTCCTGTAATAAGTATATCTCCGTTGAGAGCCACAGTTTTTGATCCCTTGTCCATTAAAACATGAAATCCTTCATTTTATTATTACATTGTTTTTCAATCTAAAGCGGTACCTCTAAAATTGTAGTTTCTTACCATTTTCTACCAGAAACAGTTCTCATGTTTGGGGCAACAGTGTCTTTATTAAACAAACTTGCATTAAAAAGGCTCTAGATTCTGAAAATAAATAAATATTTGGTATTTAGTAGTTAAGAAATGTAACTCAGTGAAGGTGGAAAAATGGCAGTTTTTTTTATTACCCTATCCAACACATTGTTGTCCTGAGAGGTACTATTCTTTTTAAACATTGAGGTTTAACAAGGGTTAAAGGAGTTTTCTGGTATTTGCACAGTAACACCAGCAGCTGTCAGTTGGAAGTGAACAGATTACGGGTGGTGTGAGCGCAGCAGCATCCTACCTTTGTCCAATGAGCTCTCTGTCTTTCTGCAGAGCTTCCTCAGCTGCTTCTTTAGAGGAAAATTGCACAAAGGCCTCTCCAGAGTTTTTCCCTCTGCGGTTTTGGATGAAGGTGATCCCACTCCCCACTATTTCCAAACCTGAGGGACGCAAAGACACTGAATGAAATATTTGGCTTTTAAGAAAAATACCTTTTTTCAAATATAGATGATGTTTTCCTGTATCGTTCTACCTCTGAAATATAAAAACCTTTTTCCTTTATCACATCACATCACATATGTAACTTAAAGGGGACCTATCATGCAAAATGCACTTTTGTACATCTTTTATACATGAATATGTGTCCCCGGTGTTCCAGGGAACTCACCGAGTGTCAGAAAACACAACCCTCTCTCTTTTCCTCCATACCCAAATCTCTTAAAAAGAGGCTGCAACGGATCTGATACAGATTTGAAAATAGTCTGACATCAGTGACGAGGAGCTCCGCCTATATGGCCAACTCTCCACCAATCAGGGGAATGAGAGGTTGCCGTGGCATGGTAACATGACCTCGGCCCCCTCCTTTGCAGGGGGGCGTGGTCAGCTGCAGCGCATGCAAAGACAGGGGTGGAGGAGAGCAAAATAGAGCAAAATGAGGCATGGCTAAAATGCATGATCTGTTTGGTATTTTGAAAAAGAAAATGTATAAATATAACTTATATAGGTATGGCCCTACAATATATTATTCAAATATAGCATGATAGGTCTCCTTTAACTAGACTTCACAACGCTCTGGGGTTCTTAGACATGTTTGGATCAAACAATAATAAGCAGCCACCACAGGATAAAAACGTTTACAAATCTTATTATGCTATAATACTGATATAATAGTTTAGCCTAATATTTTNGCACGCGCGCATCGGGAGGCGAGTGTAAGCATGGATATATTGTATTAGGGTCCTGCTGCAAATGGCTCCGAACACAACGATCAGATCTTACAGTGGTTGAGGACTAACCGTCAAGCCTCGAGACATATATGCGTTAGTTTTGAGATTTGTACATGGTGTGTAGCTGCTACCACGCCTGCTATACGCCAGGTTGTGTCTGCGAGATGAATAGGCCAGGGAGGTGCATCATTAAATATGTCAGTGGTTTACATGGCAGACCAATACATCTGAGCCAAAACTTCACAAGTTCAGACGGTTTATGGCAGCCTGGATTCAAACCCTAGGTAGGCGTTCTAGGAGTTGGAGTGTAGGCATGTCCTGTTGGCTGCGAGCTTGCGACTTTGGGCTGCCGTCAAACGTGATCAATCAGTTAGTACTTGCTGGATACTTCATGCATTGTACCGATGTCGGTGAAAGCGTGATTCGCACGATGGGGTCTGCCAACGGCCAAGTCCTCGAGACAGACCTAGAATTGATCGGCATGAGGGTTGACTGTAGCGGACTACAGCCTGCGGAGCGATTCGAAGACTCTCACCTTGACAAAGGCACTGCTTTGCAGTCTTAATATTAATTTAATTTATATTCATATTACAGGTTTCCTCAATTGTCATGGGTAGTTAAAAGTGAACCATATGTGAGCGAGTTGCTTTTCTGCTCCTGCCAAGAGAGTAGAAGAGTAGGGGAACCTACTCTGTGAAATGCAGAGAGGGAGGAGGTCTAAGAACCTATAAAATGTATATGTAAGAGAACTGGGGACCGTTTGAGAGCTTGAGTGTATTTTGAGCTCAGATGCTTGGGTCGCGAGGTCTTGTCTGCGCGGTGGGCTTCCTTTAGGAGTGGCTTAGGAGATTTTTCACGTTGTTGACTATATCCTAGTTAAGGTTTATTGAATTTGGGACTTTGTGTCTGTTGTTGTTTGGATTCCTTGGTAATCGACTCGATTTTTGGTTGTAATAGACCTTGTAATACCACGCTCGTTTTCATATTTGTACATTTTGTCGTTCCTGTTCCTGTGCTCTGGGTCGGCGCTCTAGTTTAGTCTCTGGAACAGGTAGTCTGTCGGTGTCTCTGTCTTAGAGTGAGGTAAGAACACCCTTACCTGGAAAAGGCTGACATTAGTTGATGATTTGGATTTCAAATTGTTTAAGGGGAATAGAAACCCTTTTTAAGTTAAACTATAGTTTCACATTGGTCACTGTGGTTGATGTGGTTTTGATTGATGTTGAAATATGACATATGCTCTGCTGATTTGGTAATGTCACTGCTGTGATATTAATGTTTGACTCTGGCTGTGTTTGATATTACAATTGCATTGTTTTGATTGGTATAACTGGGGATCAAAAGAGGGGGTTAGGGATTGTGGGTCCTGAAGCTGCCTTAATTACCAGGGGGTCTCCCAACGACACGGGGTTTCTCCTCCAGGGGCAGTTTCGATACTGCTCTGGGGTTCTACCAGCCCACCAACACCTACTACACTACACACTCCGTTTTGCTATCCTGGCGGTCGGGAACCAACGCTTTAGTGCCTGAAATAAGTGATACGACAGGCAGCTGGTGTTAGAGGCCACGCTGTAAGCGCCCCCTAAGCAGATTAAGGTGATCTTGTGTGTAGATTCTGGGGGGTTTTGAAGTCCTAAAAAGATTGGACGGCCGTTTTCCGGAGCCTTATCAGCACCGGAACTCGGTATCGGAGCCGGCCTAGATATTAACGTTGGTTGTATCGAAGTTAGATTCCTTTTCAATAGAAGAAATGTCGTCAGAGCAGTGTTGTAGTCAAGTCACCAATTCACAAGTGCAAGTCACTCTCGAGTCCCCACTTTTCGAGTCCAAGTCCGAGTCACCTAGGGAGAGTCGGAGTCGAGTCTGAGTCGAGTCGGAGTCCAAGTCGGAGTCCAAGTCCGAGTCCAAGTCCAAGTCCGAGTCCAAGTCCGAGTCACCCAAGAGTATGTGTTATGGAGCCTTCTCTTCATTCTTTTTTCCACATAACGAGCATTTTGCGCTGCTCTTTCCCAATGTGGAAGCAAAATGTGCGAAAGCTTAGAGCACGATTCGGGGTGTCTCTCTAGACTCTTTAGGCTGGAATAGTTGGGGCGCGCCCAGTACGTGAACTCGCCTCGCAGGTTCACGCGCCAGGACAGAGTACATCTGACTCCAGACAGAATTTGCTTGAATCCGAGTCCAAGTCGAAGCGTCAATGTACAAGTCGAGTCCGAGTCATCGTGCACGAGAATTCACGAGTCAGAGTCATTGTGCGCGAGAATTCACAAGTCCGAGTCCGCTTCAATCAGTGCGCGAGTCTGAGTCGTGTCACGAGTCCCAAAAATCGGCACTCGAGTCCGACTCGAGTCAGAGTCCAGGACTCGAGTACTCCATCTCTACCTCAGAGTAATACAATACAATAATAATTGAACTAAATTTAGAACTAACCAAGCTCAAATGATGTACACACATCTTTTCATGACCAAGGTGCATGTTAGATATGTGTTGAGTATATTTCATGCTAACATATGTTCGGCAGAAGAAACGCTGAAACTCAGAAACCATGTAGGGTTGTAGTTTTGTTCTGAGATTCCTGTCACATATTTACACATGATGTGGTAATATATAGGGTGGGTCAAAATCCAGTTCCGGTTCGGAACCGTTTCCAACATTGAGCGAGCGTATTTGTTTTTTTTTACGAAATGTTAGTTTCCGGTTTCTGCTTATCGATTCCCTAAGGAAATGCATCTCGCCGCTTTCTGTGCTGTTGAACGGGGGCGGGGCGTCGTAGCGAGCCAGTGCGGCAGGTTGTTGGGAAGCAAAACTCAGTTCAGAGTAAGAACAAAATATCAATTGTCCCCGGTACCCGGATTCATAAGAGTTGTGAGGACAGCACGACCGCAGCTCTCCTATCTAATTGCTCAGGATCAGCTTACTGTGCACGATGCAGTCTCTCCTCTCTCTCTCTCTCTCCTCTCTCTCTCTCTCTCTCTCTCTTCTCTATCTCTCTCTCTCTCATCCTCTCGTTCTCTTTCACACACAGCGGCGTTCCCGCTGCCCGTTTAACAGCCTCATCTTTGTCAACTTATGTTCCTTTCCCTAATAACCACGTAGCAGGTTATTCAGCGTTTTAGCGCACTATGTTTTTTAATTTGACAGCCCATTTCCTTTATGAAGTAAAGCAGCCTCCCTGTCTGTGTCCCTCACGCTGCTTCTTCAATCCCCGGACTGTGAGACGACTCGGAGGAGCACAGGGATGCAGTATTGTTTTATGAAGCAGGGTATAGAAAGTACAATTAGTTGAAATGAAAATACAATGTAAGTGTCATGATTACGTTTACAAACAGTAGTAGCTGGGCAGCTGTAGTAAGGTATTCGTAGGACATGTTTGGACACACGACTGTGTGGGTTGGACTCTGTCGTCACAGGCAGGCTGCAGTGTAACATCAGAGGGGACTGGGCAATTGTTACATTCTCNTAAACTATAGTTTCACATTGGTCACTGTGGTTGATGTGGTTTTGATTGATGTTGAAATATGACATATGCTCTGCTGATTTGGTAATGTCACTGCTGTGATATTAATCACAGCAGTGACATTACCAAATCAGCAGAGCATATGTCATATTTCAACATCAATCAAAACCACATCAACCACAGTGACCAATGTGAAACTATAGTTTAACTTAAAAAGGGTTTCTATTCCCCTTAAACAATTTGAAATCCAAATCATCAACTAATGTCAGCCTTTTCCAGGTAAGGGTGTTCTTACCTCACTCTAAGACCAAGCAGATACCTTCAGAGACCACGAGAGAGACCAGGAATGGGATCAAAATGTACAAAGTAGAAACCGGTTGTATTAAGGTTTTAACAAAAATAGAGGATTTACAAGAATCCAAAAAATAACAAAGACACAAAGTCAAAATTCAAAATTAATAGGTTCACAAGTGAAAATCTCCTCAAGCCGTCTAAAGGAGCCCAGGCCCAGGGCCCAGGGCCCAAGAGCCTAGACCCAAAATCTAGCCTCAAAAACTCCTCAAGCTCTCAAACGTCCCCGTTTCTCTTTACACTTCATCTTTTATAGTCTCTTGCCTCCTCCCTCTCTGCATCAGGTGGTTTCCCCTTTTCTATCTTTGAGGGAGAAGGAGGTCACATATGTTCAACTTTTACTTAATGAACAATTAAAAATGTAAAGTTAAAATAAAATAAAAATTAAAGCTGCAAGCAGCGTTGAGCGGGTCTTCGACGCTCCGCAGGCTGTTGTCCGCACGT